GCAGGGCTCAGACGGGCAGTAGGGCTGCGGGCATCCCAGACAGCTCCCTACATACCTCCTTGGTGTAGAACGCCATGAAGCTCCCCATGTAGCCATCTTCCTCGAGAGCGATAAGGAGGTCCACCACGGAGGTGAAAGAGAAGACTGCGAACACTACGGGGAGAGTAGCAGGGCATGGGCAGGGTGTGGGCGGGGCACAGACCACGTGTGGGCGGGGCCTGAGACTGCAGGTCGGTGACCGGCCACCCAGTTTCTGGGCAAAGCCTCTGCACAAACCTGCTCCCAGGCCCCACCCCACAAGTCACATGACCCACAGCCCGCCTCAGAGGGAGGCACAGTCCCTGCCTTTAGGGGTCCCCAGGCTGATGGGAAAGGCACTGTCCCTGTACTCAGGAGTCCCAAGTCAGAAGGGGGAGGCCCCTTGAGGTTCCCCAATCAGTAGGGGTTCTCCAGTCTCTGAGGTTCTCCAGTCTGATGAAGGCCCTTCAAGGGCTGCCAGTCTGATGGAGGAGGCCCTTGCCCAGACAGTTCTCTTCCCTAAGACCCTCCCACCAACTCACCGGCATAGAGTGGGTCATAGTAGATGTCACTTCGGGACAAGCTGTATATAGCCAAGAAGAGCAGACCCAGGATCAGGGCGCTCATCCACACCACCCCCAGGGGGCTGTGGAGAGGAAAACCAAGTCAGGGAGGCCAGGCTCATTCTGAGGTCCTGCCCCACCCTAGGGCAAGAGCAGACTCCAGGAAGCTCCAGGTGAGGAGGCTGAAGCATCTGTCCATCCAGGAAAGCCATTCCCCGAAACTCCCCTTTCCTAGCACCAGGCTCTTGCCCCAGCTGTTTCCCTCTTCTGGAAACTCCTTCCAAAAGTCTCCTTTCCACTTGGCAAACTCCTACTCATCCTTCATGGCCCATCTACATTGCTCCTCCTCCAGGGAAGCCCTCCCTGACTCCTCAGAAAGGATCATTGCCTGACTTGGGCCAGGCATAGAGAGAGCATCTGTCAACACTTCTGACTATATGATTTATCCAGTCACTTGCTGATGCGTGTGACAGTTTGCTTGCTCTGTCATTCAACAGCTCCAAGACCCTCTGTGGCCAGTCCCAGTGCCCACACCTGCCAGAGGGTCTCTAGTGCTCAGCTCTGTACACCTCATGGTCTGAAGCTCCTGACTCCTCAGGTAAAGTGCAAATATTTCCATCAACTCCACCCCACCCCTGCCCTGATCTGTTCCCATCAACCTGATAAGGCAAGTCAACCAGCTGCAGAGATAACAGAAGCCAGGTCTCTGGGCAGCCCCCAACTCTTGGCAAACCAAGGCCAAGGGTGGGAGGGTGGGAGACATATCCAAGGTCACACATTCCCCCCCACACTCTCTCCAGGCCCCAACCTTCTCCTGAACCCCTCTAACCCCTAGGATCCCCATTCCTAGCCCCATCTAACCAACATGACAATTATAGTAATCACATGAGACCACACCAGCATCTTGGCACACAATTTGTAATCCCAAACTGTAACTATGGGATGAGCTCTAGAATTATGTTCATTACACAGGGAAGAAACTGAGGCTCCCGGGGCAACCTGTCTCACTCAGGGTCCAGGAGGATGGAGCCAGGAATTTGTACCCAAGGAACCAACTCCACAGTCAAGACTCCCTCTACCCCATGTCTTGGGTTGCACTGGGTTTGGGAGTGTGAGGGGCTTGTGGTTGCCTGGTACCCAGTAGCTGGATCCACAGGGTTGAGGCCTAGGGTTAGGAGATAGGGACAGGGGAGGTCGAGGTATGTAGGGGAAACTGAGGCTAGGGACAGGGTGGGCCAGCCCTGAAGAGAAGAAAGTCCCAGGTCTGAGACAGGCAATGGAGTGACAGTCTGGTAGGGGTGGTGCAGCAGAGCGTGTGTGTGGCAAGAGCCGGGTCACTGGGGCATTATCTGGGGCAATACTTTGACCCTTGGGGACTCTGGAACCTGTGCTGGGCACATCCCTGGGAAAACACCAGAAACCCTCCAAAACCCTGCCTTGTTAGGGGCTCTGCTTCTCAAAGTCCCTCCTCCCCAGGCCGCAAACGTCCCAGGAGCGCCCCCAGCTCCACCACACAGCTCCGGGCCTGCTGGAAGGCGATTTCCGGTCGGAGGTTGGGGGGGTTCTTCTGACCCAGCCCCTGTCCTCGCGGGCCGGAGCGGCGCGGGCCGCTGGGCTCGGGGGAGCCCGCGCATCCTCCATCCCGCCCCCTCCACACCCCAGCCCAGCCCCGCAGCCCCCGAGGAGGCTGCCCCGGCCCCTCCCCGCACGCACTACGAGAGCGCCGAGACGTGGTTGAGCGCGTAGGACAACGGGAGAGCGCCCAGCGACAGAACTGCGACCTTGCCCGCCAGCGGCGGGATGTCCATAGCGGCGGTGCCGGGACCCCGGCTTGGTTTCTGCGCGGCGGTGTCTCTGGGCGCGGAGCTGCCAGGGACACAGCCCGGCTCGGCCCCGCCTTGCGCAAAGGTCGCCCCCGCGCTGTGACTGCCCTGCGAGGCCCCTCCCTCTCGCAGTGGCCCCACCCCGCCTTGATAGCCTCGCCGGACTCTGCGCTGTCCCCAGTGGCAGTCCCCGTCGCCCAACCGGTTTCCCTCTCTACTAATGCTAGAATACGATGCCTCAGGATGCTTCCGCTTCTGCGTCCTGGAGGCCACTTCGGTCTAAGGGAATTCGTTCCCCGGACCTCGTTCTGCACTTCTTTCTTCACCCTAAGGCACAGGCATCCTAGCCTCGACCTCGACCCCGAAGGGGGACCCTTTTAACTCTTCACATTCCGCAGACCTCCCTCCAGCCCAGGATCAAGTGGGCATTGTATGTGCGCGCTGACAGAGGAACCTCATCCGCTTGGGTGCAGAGCTCCCTTCAGTGCCCTTAGATTTGAGTTTTCATGCGGTGGCCACAGACAAATTTAAATGTGTCCAGGTGTGAAGTTTTAACTGGTCCCGGGGGCCAACTCAAGGCAGACGGTCAGGGACCAGGGTTGGGGACACCTTGAAGGACTCCATGATTCTCTGCTGTGTTCCTTCCGTGTAGCCTGAACCCCTGCTCATGTGGGCGAGGTCCAAGGGATGGGGTCCAAGGGGTGGCTGAGATTATAAAGTGGGGATGGAGTCAGTTTGGTGAGGAGTTTCGTAATGGTGCTCCCGGCAGGAAAAAATAGCTCAGGCTTGGGGATGAGCTGCAGAAAGGAAGCACTGAAGGCTGGGGTTGGTGGTGGGGTCATGGAGCAAGGTGGGGTGGGCTTGGGAGCGTTCTGAACAGCCTGGAGGAGGCTGGGCTCCATTCGGGGGCATATGTAAGGGGGCAGGGCTGGACCAGGGAGGGGGCTGCAGGGTGGAGAATTAGGAGGCAACTTTTTGTCAACCCCTCCAAGGAGCCTCGGACTCTTGCCCACGTGGTACTTGTGGGTGCAGGAAACAGGGTGAGCGGTGCCCACCTGTTTCCTGCCCTAGGGGGCCCAGTTTTTTTTTCTGGCCGTGCCATGTGGCTTGCGCGACCTTAGTTCCAGGGATTGAACCTGGGCCACAGCACTGGACCACCAGGGAATCCCCTGGGGGGAAATTCTAACCCTCACATCCCCGCAACTCCCACCAGGCCCAGCCCCCGCCTTCTCCATGGGGCAGTTGGGTCCCATCTCTGAGCCTGGGTGACAAGATGATCTTCTGGCCACTGACCTGAGAGCCTCCTTCCCCAGGTGCCTGTTGCTCATGCGTGAAGCTCAGGTTTCTCTGGGCTGATCTGAATCTCCAGCCTCATTTCTTGACTTTTCTCAATTCTTGTGGTGCCAATATGCTACATGCCTCTCTCCTATCTGCAATATGGACCCTCTCGTATTTCCTCACCCCTTAAAGCAGGCCCCAGTGTCCCCTCCTCCAGGGAGGTCTCCCTGCCACTCCAGCCCCACTTCTCCCCCTGGAGGGCCAGGGGTGTCTGGTGCAGCTCTGTCTACGGGTCTGGCCTCGCATCCTGTATCTGGGAGATACCTGCACACCCACACAGCATTTGGAAGCCTCCTCTTCCAACTGTCCCTGTGGCTGGGGCTAAAGTCCGTGGTCTGAGTCTGGCGAGCCTTCTGGTCACTGAGAATTAAATGGAGGGGTGACCTTGACTTAGTGAGGTGTTTGGGACCGAGGCCCAGGGTCCCCATGACTGGGACCTCTGGCTGCCCAGATCTATACGCTTGTGCTCAGGACTCTGGCTCCCCAGGGCAGGCTCCACCACACCCCCTTGCCCTGCCCTGGGCACAGCGTCCATGGTGGGGAAACAGGGTAGTACGTGTCATGCCAGCCAGGGGTTTGCTGCTGAGACTTCCAGACCCTGAACTCCCTCACTGAGACACCCCCCAGGCCACCTCCACCATAGTTCCCACTTCCTCTTTATGGCATTTATCAGTCTCAGATTGTGTTAGAGGTTAATGGCCACAGCCCCAGCAGACTGTGGGTGCCCAGGGGCAAATCCCATCCATGTGATTCACAGTCAGTGCTCAGTGTTTGCTGAATGACTGTGTGAACTGCAGGCTGGCCCAGAAGCCTGACGCCAGCTTGAGTCCTCAGACCCCATAAGCTCACAGGGGTTGAGCAGGACCTACTGGGTACCTGTATGAGGCAGGGGGATGAGAGGTAGGGGCTCCTCAGTTTGCCAGGCCCTGATACTCCAAGCATGGCTCACAGATTTCCGAGACCCTGCCCAATCTGCTCACTCAGCAGCTGCAATTGCACAAGATCCCCAGGTGGTTTCTGCACAAGTGTGACGCACAGGCGCTGGAGACGTGGCAAGCTCTCCTTGGTCTGGGCTACCCACTAGCCTCCCCTCCTCCAGGAGGCGTGCGATGTCTTAGTACGGTGTATCCGTCCATGAAGCTGTCCCCCAAAGGCACGAGCCCTAGGGACTCGTGTGTCCACTATAGCTGTAGGACCCAGAGCAGCTAGGGTAGCCTGGGCTGTAGCCATCACTAGCCAGGTTTGTTGTGCGTGTGTGTGGTGGGGGGCCCTGTCAATGCCACCTGTCAAGAGAGGTTGAGGGGCACAAGTGTGCCCTGGGTCCACCTGCTTTGTGGGTCTGAGGGAGGAATGGGCCCTGCCTGGAGACCCCTCCCCAGCCTCCTTCTGCAGTGCAGTGCGCTAGGCTAGGAGGGGAGTCCCTGATGCCCCTGGCCCAGGTGCAGCCAGGTCTTGGCCAGCTGGCCGCCCCTCCCCTCTCCAAAGGTCCTCCCCTCAACTCCAACCCAGGCCGATGGGGGACCCCATAAGCAGACAAAAGGTCCAGGTGGTTTTCCAGGATTCCTTGGTGCTGGGCAGCCTTCAGAGCAGCATCCTGTCCCCACCTGTCCGGCCTGGCCCTGCTAAGGAACAGGAGGGGTTTCTGGTGATGGCAAGACCAGGCTGCCGTGGCAGGCAAGCACCGGGATTTTAATACACAGCACGACACTCGCAACAATGGGAAGGGCGGGCAGAAAAGCAGGCCGGAACATTCCACAGTCCAGGAATGGTCGGTCTTTTGGAAAGTACATTTGTGCATTTTTCCAGAATACTCAGTAGTAAGGCCGTCTGGGGTTGTTCTGTGGGAAGCAAGAAAGATAAAAGGGGAGGTGGTTATGCTGTGCTAAAGGGAGTTAGCAGTTCCTCCCGTCTAGAACCTAGTGGGGGCAGCTAGCCCACATCCTCTAGAAGGGAGGGCAGGCTTTGGGGAGGCGAGGCAGGCTCGAACAAGGTGGAGAGGTGGGGTGGGTCTGCTGGAGAGCCTAGCCGGACTGCGGAAGGAGGGACACTTCTGTGATCAGCACCACCACCCGCCTACAGCGGAAGAACTGCGGCGGCCCGGCCACAAGCAATATAGGGGGATAGGGACACACGCACCAGGGGGTTGGGCCGGAAGCGGTAGGCCAGCATCATCCTCTTGCGGAAGGCCTCGTACTCGTCATCTTCCTTGGAGAGCTCGGCTGGCCGGTCAATGCCAAAGCCAGCACCATCTACCGTGGTGGTGCCCCTGCATTGGGGCAACGGGTGGTGTGAGCCGGGGAGCAGGCTGGTGCCGGCAAGAGGGGGGGTGAGGGACCTGAGCTTGGGGCAGGGAGGCTTCACCCGCCGTGGCTGGGCTCAGCAGCAGCACCCCAATGCAGCTCAATGTGGGGGCTATGCTGGGCTGGGTGACATCTGTCTGGGACACTCCTGGCACTGTGGGAAGGTGGAGAGCCTAAGACGGCCCAGCCATCAGAGTCCAAATCCCTGACTCCCAGCCCAGTGACAGGGCTGGACCCAGGCCCTGGGCCTATGTCTCCGTGTGGGACTTCTCCTCTCCCCCCTCCCCCCTGGCATTGGAGGCCACACTCACTTATTGACTGGGTTCTTGATGCCCTGGCCTTCTGAGCCCAGGCCATCGCCCTCCTTCCAGCCCATCTTCATCAGCATCTGGTAGCCGATGTTCTCTATCGTCAGCTTGAACTCCTTGTACTCTGAGTAGTCAGGCTCACGGCCCTCCTGCAGGGGGAGGAGGTAGCCGTCATCCACCAGGGCTGCAGCCATCCCCAGTCCCAGCTCTGGCCTGAAACCCCACCCCCACATGGCTTCACTGGCCGCTGGGACCACTTCACTGGCCGCTGGCCGCTGGGACCCACCTGCCTCCCCACCACTAAGTCAGACTCCTTGAGAAGAGATCAAGCTGCCCCTTCTCAGAGGCCCCAGGACCAGAAGCAGTACTGAGCTCCCTGGTGGCCAAGTCAAAGAGGGCAAGGTGACAGGTCACACAGGCCTTGTCTACCATGAGAAAGATTAATGGTTCACCAGTGAAGAAAAATCCCATGTTCCAAGAGCAATTTGTTACACAGAGTGCTAAAAAGAGTGCTGTGGTCACATGAGGTGACCATCACATTGGTGAGATTATGTGGTACAAAGCAGTTTAAAAAAAACCCTCAAAAACCTATGTGGAATGTTCTGTCAGCCCTCTCCTCTTGAGCATGAAAACAGCATGGGAAGAACAATTTCACTCTGGAGAGCCCAACACATGGGGGCGTCTGCCCGAGAAATGCTTTGCCTGTAAACTGCACTTAATTGGCTCCACTGGAAGCAGAATTTCCCTAAAGCCTCAGCAAATGTCTCTAAAGCGGCAGTTGAGATGCTATTTGCTAATTCCCTACACAGATGGCACCTGTCATAAGCAGGTGCCACCCGTGGCAAGAGGGTCCTACCCCTCTTGTGAGCGAGCAGGCCCCTGAGGCCACCGCAGGTGCCTGCCACCTGAGGAGGCTGCAGGAGGGGCTGGGACACTGCGCAGGCTGCCTGCTAGACATGCTCACAGCAGGGGCTGGTGCCTGGGGCCTCTCCCAGCCTACCTTCAGGGCCTTGAAGGTCTCCATGAACTTCTCCAGCTCATCGGGTGGCAGGAAGTCTCCGATGAAGTGTTTGCCCCGGCCCATCTTCGTCAGCTGCTCCGCCCATTCTGCCCAGAGATGGGGTAAAGGTGAGAGGAGGAAGGAGGGTGTGGCAGCCCCACAGCAGAAGTATGAGTCCCAGGGGGAGTCTGGGGCCGTGGGGAATGAGGTAGCTGGTTGAGACCTCGAGCCCTGCTCTCCCACGCAGCCCTTGTGTACCGTGTTCAAACGCCAGTGAACACTCAGAGGACCATCCTTTTGCCACTGAAGAAACAGGCACAAAGAGGCCAAGTCTCTTGCTCAAGGCCTTACAGGCTGGATAGGTGGCTTAAGACCCCAGTGTGGTGTCTCCAGGCACTTCCTGGGGCGGTGAGTGGGCTTCCTGAGCCCACAGCACCCTGAAGAAAAGGGCACCCTCCACCCCACCCCTGTAACTCGCTCCTTGGCCCACCCCGAGTCTTGTCCATCTCCATGCGCCGCAGCTGGTGCTCCCAGGTGCCCAGCTCGCTGTCCACCTCCTCGTCGCTGTCGTAGCCATGCTGGTGCTGCTGCAGCGCCTTCTCCCACAGCAGCTGCATGTCCTGCATTGCTCGCTTGTGCTGCATGATCATGTCGTACATCTGTTGCATCTGTGGGCGGCACACGCCAGTGAGCAAGGCCGTGCACTGTGCGTGCAGGAAGCTAGCCCCCTCACCTCCCCTGTGCATGCTGGGCACCCCTTTTCCCCCCTCCCTGGAGCAGGCACAAGAGCAGGGCTCAGAGCAAGTGTTCAGGAAGGCACCGAGTCCTGTGTCAGGACATGCCCTGGGTTCCCTGAATCTCTATTTTGAGCAGGGAGGACCCCGGCCTGGAATCTGGAATATCCTGGGTACCATCACTGTGGACCAAATGAGGGTGACGTGGGCTCCTGACCACTGGGAGGGTCGAGGGTGATGTGATGGGGCTGCCAGCCTGGAGGAGGTGGCCCAGGTAAGCTGTCCCAGCTGTCCATATCCTGGCCACAGAGCTCCCTGCTGAGCCAGCCCTCACTCCCAAACTGCCCAACACCAACTGAACAGCTGTCGCATCATCCAGGGCACCCAGTGCCAGACAGGCTTATCCTGTACTGAGTGCTGCAGGGAACTGTAAGGAAAACTTAAATGGAGACTATCCAGTCAGGACCAGCCCGCGAGCGCAGTGGGAAGTAGCTGTGGAGCATCAGCTGAGAAGGCTGCCCAGGCAGCATGAGAAGGCTCTGGGCCCAACTGTGGGCTTGGGAGGGCCCTCAGGGGGTGGCTTGCCATTGATGGGGGACCCACCTGCCCAAGAGCCTCTCCCCTGACTGTGGATTCACCCGGCACAGGGAGGCACAGGAAGAATACACGTGACCACTGCACCACGGGGCAGGGTGGGAGACGATACTCCACCAGCCCCTCGGAGCCTGCCTGCCCTGCCCCCCAGGGCCTTACCTCCTGCTGCTCCTTCAGCTGCTTCTTCTGGGCATCCGAAAGCTCTGTGACACCCACCAGACCCACGGGCTTCCCCTTCTCGTAGCCTAGACCCTTGAGGTCCTGAACTAGAAACAAGACACAGGCTGGTCAGCAACAGACACGTGGGCTTGGCCGTGCATCTGTGTCCCAGGCAGAGTCCATGTGCTGACGACACCTGACGCACGTGGCCCATGTGGCAGGACACTTAAGTTGGAACAGTTAGTACGCATGTCACTTGATGACCTCGGGGGGCTTTGCTCCGCTCTATCGTGTGTACTCAGTTCCATCCCCACATGACTGCTCCAGGCAGGCTCTGTGACCCCACACTGCAAATGCTGACACCAAAACTCAGGAGGTCTGGGGCCTCACTCAAGGTCACACAGCTAATGGGTGACAAGGCAGGGAATCTGCAAAGCCAGAGATGCTTGCACACAGGCTCTTGGAAGTAAGCCCCACGGTGAGCAGATACCTTATGTAGACACACAGGTCTGGAGTCTGGCAGAAGACTCAGCTGCGTGGTTCTGTTAGCTCCTTCTGGGGAAGCAGCCAACCATCTTTAAAGCAACTGACATTTAAGCTGGCATCCCCTTTGGAGCTTGGCTGGAGCCTGCAACGCTAACTCACATCAAGATGCTGCAATGGCCCCATCTGGGTGGTGGAAACAACCACCCCTCAGGTGGTGGCTTCCTGGGGAAGAAGCCAGGCAGAACGGGGTACAGAGGCCCCTCTGGGGGGATGGAAAGAGCCAGGTCTTCCCAGCTCAACGGGACTGTGTTGTCGCCTGCAAGAACCACCCGCAGGTGCTCCTGGACCCTAAGATTGCACACCAATCCCTCCTCGGTCTATGGGGGCTCTGAAAGATGTTGGAGAGCCCCATGGAGAGAGCAAGGGAGCCAAGGTCTGAGCAGCCTGCTGTGTGCCTGGATCACGTCCACAGTCCCTTTCCTCCTTGGGCGACTTCACCAGTGAGCAGGCAGGTGGGGGCTGCCCACGCTCCCCTGGGGACAATGTGGGCCAGTGGGGCTTGAATCTGAACCTGAGACTTCGGAGCCTGTACTTGTCCCCTAGAATGTGAAGGACCTGGCAGCTGGGGCTGGACCTTGCGGACACGATCTCAGAGGCGGGGGTGTGCGTGCGTCAGAAGAGCCCTCACATCTGAGCACCCTCCTTTACTGCGGGCACCAGGTTTGGCACTTGAGCAGCAGTCCGACCCTAGGCACCCTCAACCCCGGGTAGAAGTGCTATCTAGAGCCCCAGGGAGTACCAGACTTTTCAGTCAGCAGCTTTTCTCTTTGGCCAAGGGAGGCACTCAGCCAGAGACCACTCTCAGAGCTGGGCGGGCAGGGCCAACAGGCCAGGCCAGCCCTGTGACCTGGGGGAGATGCCTTCCCCCTCAGCCCATCCTTGTGTGGCAAATGTGGGTGTTGGCGCCAGGGCATATATGGCTCTTCTTTGTGCCCGTGTGTCCAGCTCCAGTGAAGTCAGGGGTGAGGGAGGTTGAGAGAGTTCTGCCCATGGTGCAGGCTGCGTGGTGAGGGAGTCAGACAGACGGCATGAGACGGCCAATTAACAGTCACCAACATCATCTGCAAAATGTGATGACAACAGACCCCCACCCTTATGGGTTTGTGGTAGAAAATGAGAAATGAGGCCACACGTTGGCTGTCCCTGAAACTGTTGTCAAGGACGGAGACGCTGGAGATCATTGTGCAAAATTGACTGTAGCAATAATTGTTCTTATCACTGTGCGTTTCCTGAGCTTTCTATGACAAAACTGAATCCAAGTACTTTAAAGCTTAAGGGAGAAAACAGGACTATCTATATGCTGTCTGTAAGAGACTTCCTTTAGATACAAAGACACAAGTAGGTGAAAGTCAAAGGAAGGAAAAAGAAATTTCAAACAAATAGTAACCAAGACAGAGCTGCACTAGCCATACTACTATCAGACAAAATATACTTTAAATCAAAAAAGGTTTATGAGAGACAAAGAAGGATGTTATATATTTACAAAGATTTGATACAGAAAGAAGATATAACAATTAAATATACACACAGACTTAACAACAGAGCCCCAAGATAAATGAAGCAAAAATTGACAAAACTGAAGGGAGAAATAAACAGTTCCATAGTAACTGTTAGAGATTTCAATACCCTATTTTAAATAATGGACAGAAAATCAGTAAGGATATAGAGGACTGAACAACACTATAAACCAACCAGACCTAATAGATATCTTTAGAACATGCAATCCAACAACACCAGAATACACAGTATTCTCAAGTACACATGGAACATTCTCCAGGATAGATCCTTTGTTAGGCTACAAAACAAATTTTAATAAATTTTAAAAGACAAATCATACCAGGTATCTTTTCTGATCACAATGGAATAAAGCCAGAAATCAGTAATGGAAGGAAAACTGGAAAATTCACAAACATGGAAATTAAACACACTCCTAAACAACAAATGGGTCAAAGAAGAAATCACAAGAGATCAGAAAATGCTTAGAGATGAATGAACACAACAGCGCAGCACACACCAAAACTTCTGGGGTGTAGCAAAAGCAGCGCCAAGAGGGAAATGTATAGCTGTAGATGCTCACGTTAAAAAAGAAGATAGGGCTTCCCTGGTGGTGCAGTGGCTAAGAATCCGCCTGCCAATGCAGGGGACACGGGTTCGAGACCTGCTCTGGGAAGCCCCCACACGCTGCAGAGCAACTAAGCCCGTGCACCACAACTACTGAACCTGTGCTCTAGAGCCCAGGTGCCACAACTACTGAGTCCGTGTGCTACAACTACTGAAGCTCGCATGCCTAGAGCCCGAGGTCCAGAACAAGAGAAGCCACTGCAATGAGAAGCCCGTGCACCGCAACAAAGAGTAGCCCCAGCTCGCCACAACTAAAGAAAGCCCGCGTGCAGCAACGAAAACCCAATGCAGCCATAAATAAATAAATAGATAGATAGTTAAATAAATAAAGACCTCTGATCAATACCTAACTGTACATCTTAAGGAACTAGAAAAAGAAGAGCAAACTAATTCCAGAGCTAGCAGAATGAAGGAAATAACGATTAGAATGGAAACAAAAGAAACAGGAAATACAAAATACGAGAGAAAAATCAATGAAACCAAAAGTTGGTTTCTTGAAAAGACCAACGAAATGGACAAATCTTTAGTCAGACTGCCTAAGAAAAAAACAGAAAAGACTCAACTACTAAAACAACAGGGGGATACAGCAGTCCACTTTATCTGCAGGGGATACATTCCAAGATCCCTCTAGTGGAAGCCTGAAACTACACATAGTACTGAACCCCGTGTATACTATATATACATACATACGTGTGATAAAGTTTAATTTATAAATTAGGCACAGTAAGAAATTAATGACAATAGCTAATAATAAAATAGAACACTTATAACAACATACTATTATAAAAGTTATGTGAATGTGGTTTTTCTCTCCCTCTCAAAATATCTTATCACAAATGTAATGCCTTTTCCATTTTAACTAAGTACTCAGCACACACTGTGGCCATAACTTTCGCAGTTTGAGGTACGACAGCAAAACTAGCACAAACTTCTTTTTCCTTCTTCACAATTTCATGGATAGATGATTTGTTCTTACCATAGATCTTGGAGACCTCAGCTTAAGTCAAGAACTTTTACCCTTTCACTTAAAGGAAATACTTGACAGCTTCTCTTTGGCATGTCTACATTGCCAGCATCACTACTCTGTGCTGTGAGGCCATTATTAAGTAAAATAGTAAAATAAGGATTATTTGAACATAAACACTGCAATACCATGACAGTCAATCTGATAACGGAGTGACTACTGGTGACTAATGGGTGGGATATGCTGGTCAAAGGGATGATTCACATCCCAGGCAGGGTGGAACAGAAAGCACGAGATTTCCTCGCAATACTCAGAATGGCACAAACTGGATCACCTAGGACGGCACAAACTACCAAAACTAACTCAAGAAGTAACAGAAAACTTGAATAGACCTATAACAAGTAAGGGGACTGAATCAATAATCAACTCTCCCCTCCAGCCCACCAAAGAAAAGCCCAGAACCAGATAAATGCACTGGTAAATTCTACCCAAGATTTAAAAGAAGAGTTAACACCAATTCTTCTCAAATTCTTCCAAAAAGTTAAAGCAGGACACACTTCCTAACTCATTCTATGAGGTCAGCATTATCCTGATACCAAAAGCAGACAAAGACAATATAAGAAAACTACAGACCAATAATCCTTATGAGTATAAATGCAGACAGAAATCTGCAACAAAATATTAGCAAACCAAATCCATCAGCATGTAAATAATTAGTAAACTAATTATTTACTAAAACGGAGGGGGATTTATTCCAGGAATGCAAGGGTGGTTTCATCATACAAAAATCAATCAATGTAATACTCCACATTAATAGAATGAAGGGAAAAACCCACATGATCATTTCAATTGATGTAGAAAAAGCACTTGACAAAATCTAACACTCTTTCATGATAAAAACACTCAATAAACTAGGAACAGAAGGGAACTTCTTCAACATGACAAAGGTCATCTATTAAAAACATACAACATCATCATACTCAATGGTGAAAGAACAAAAGCTTTCCCCCCTAAGATCAGGAACAAGGCAGGGATGCCTGCTTTCACCACTTCTGTTCAGCACAGTACTGCAAATCCTAGCCAGAGCAATTAGGCAAGAAAAAGAAATAAGAGGCATCCAAATTGGAAAGGAAGAAGTAAAACTATCCTTATCTGCAGATGACATGATCTTATGTGTAGAAAACCCTAAAGACTGTTACCCCAATAAATGAATTTAGCAAAAGATAAAAGATACATAATCAACACACAAAAAATCCGTTGTATTTCTTATACTAACAACAAATAATCCAAAAAGGAAATTTAAAAAAAATTCCATTTGCAACAGCATCATAAAGAGTAAATCACTTAGGAATAAACTTAACAGAGGTACAAGACTTGTACAACAGAAAGACAAAACACATTGAAAGAAATTAAAGGAAACCTAAGTAAATGGAAAGCTGTCCCATGTTCTCAGATTGGAAGACTTAAAATGTTGTTAACATGTCAATACCTCCCAAAGCAATCTACAGATTAATACAGTCCCTATCAAATCCCAACAATGTTTTCTGCAGAAATGGAAAAGCCCATCTGGAAATTCATACAAAAATTCAAAGGACCTCGAATAGTCAAAGCGTGAGAAAGAGGAACAAAGTTGGAAGACTGACACTCCCGATTTCAAAATTTCCCACAGAGCTACAGTAATCAAAACAGTGTGCTACTGGCATAAGGATAGATATATAAACCAGTGTAATAGAGCAGAGAGCCCCAAAATAAACTTTCTATGGGATTTTTGACAAGGGTGTCAAGAGACCATTCAATGGAGAAAGAACAATAGTCTCTCCAACAAATGGTGCTGGGAAAATTGGATCTCCACATTTAAAGAAATGAAGTTGGACACTTACCTTATAACGTATATAAAAATTAATTCAATTTAAGAGCTAAAACTATAAAACTCTTAGAAGAAAACATAAGGGCATATCTTCAAGACTTTGGATGTGGCTACGGTTTCTTAAGACCAAAATCATAGGCAACAAAAGAAAAAATAAATTGCACTTCATTAAAATTTAAAACTTCTGTGTATCAAAGGACATTAAGGGGATGAAAATACAGCCCATAAAACTAGAGAAAATTTTTGCAAATCATGTATCTGAATGGGGGTTAATATCTAAAACATTTAGAGAACTCCTACAACTCAATAACAAAAAGACATACAACCCAATTAAAAAATGGGCAAAGGACTAAAACAGACATTTCTCCAACTAAACTATAAACTGACCAATAACACATGAAAAGATGCTCAACACCATTAGTCATTAGGGAAATGCAAATCAAAACTACAATTTGATTTCACTTTATACTTATTAGAATAGCTATACAATAAGGCGAGAATGAGAAGAAACTGGAACCCTTGTGCACTGCTGATAGGAATGTAAAATGGTGCAGCTGCTGCAGAATGCAGTTTGGCAATTCCTCAATAAGTGAAACAGAATTACCGTAAGACCCAGTGATTCCACTCCTAGGTATATACAAAAAAGAATCAAAATCAGGGGTCCGAACGGTATTTGTAGGCCAGTGTTCACAGCAGCACTACTCACAATCGCCAAAAAGTGAAAATAACCCAAGCTTCTAAACAACTGATGAATGGATAAACAAAATGCTGTCTATCCGTACACTGGAACTCTATTCAGCTGTGGAAATAAATGAAATTCTGGCATGTGCTTCAACACAGATGAACCTTGAAAACATTACGCTCAGTGAAAGATGCCAGACCCTCCCCAGGAGGCTGAGGGAGGGGGTCGGCCCACCTGACAGAGGTGAGGGAGAAGCATCCACGTCCCTCTGCACCAGCTCGGCAGGCGGGAGCTCCACCTTGTCCTCTTCAGGACCCCACCGGCTCTTTCGCTTCCTCTTCATGTTGGCTGTGGTGGCTGGCTTCCCTGGGGCAGCTGAAGATGGGTTGACGTTGGGCAAGGGGGCAGATGAGGTAGGGCAGGCAGTGGCGGTGGGCATGGACCCCAAGGGGGTCTCAGGAGGAGATCTGCGCTTCAGTCCGAGGTCAGGTGCCGTGGGGGTGCCCGTGGGACCAGCCTTGGCTTTCCTGAACTCCTCCAGCTTCTGGCGGTAGTACTTGTACCCTTGGCTGTTGGGTTCATACAGAAAGCTGCAAAAGAGAGTGGGGGGCACACCGTCATTGGGCCTCAGCCCCCTACCCCTGATTTAGGGCAGAAGAAGCTTGGGCCTTGTGTAGGCACACTGGGGCCAGCTAGGTCACTTCGGGGTCATGTTAAGATGGAGGTCTCTGTCGTGACCCCTGCCCTGCCAGGCCTCAGTGGCTGCTGGTGCTGGTGGCCCAAACTAGAGGAACAGTGTGACATGGCCACAGTCTGTCATGATGCTGTTCCTGTGAGCTGAGGGCCACTGCAAGCCCCTACCCCATCTTTATTGGATGCCCATCACAGTATCACTGATCCCCTGCTTCGAAGGAAAAGGAGCGGGCTCTCTCAGACCTTCCCCAGGCTCTGCCAGGCTTCTTCCCCTGCTGTCCTAGATGAGTGCACCAGTGCCTACAAACCAAGAAATCCTGAGTTGCGAGAGACACCTGGTGCCAAAAAGGGCAGGATTTGTCCCAAACCTGACAGCTGGGCATATCTGTGCTCCTTTCTGATGCACCCTTGAGAGGCATCAACAGTGGACAGAGACAAAACAAAGACACTAAACATCAGAACAGACAGGGAGCTCACTAGCAGCCTTGCTGGTAGCTGTTGGTCCCCAAGTGCAGAGCAGGAGGTGCTGGGTTCAGAGCCGGCAGAGGCTGCAGCTCCTTCTGCACCTGCCCAGCATCTCTCAGGCTATGCATGTACTGAGCCAACAGTCCCACTTCTAGAGTGAAGAGTCACAGCCCAGTTCCACATAGCAAAACCTGTGCACAGCAGAGATTACAAAGCCCTTGACAAGAAGGGGCTAGACTTGCACTCATGAACCTGGAAAGACAGTCACGGCACAATGCTGTAATACAAAAGCAAAATGCAGGCTCGAGGATGCTGTAAATTCCTTTTGTATAAAAGGAAATTAGCAGAGAACAAATCCACATACTATTTCTACATGTCTACGTCAGAGATGGGAGAGGGATGGAGGACTCCCAATCCCGCTAACAACCTAGGGTGGGATGGAGGGATGGGGAGACTGTGTCATCTTCTTTGTATTCCTGGGTCATGGTACAAGCATGTACACCCTTCAGAAAACCCAGTGTGGAACATTTGTAAAAGTTAAAAGAAACAAAGATCAACAAAATCGTTAAGCCTCTAGCCAAGAAAGAAAAAAAGAAAAAAAGAGAGAGGACACCAACTACTAACAACAGAAAAGAAAGAGGGGCCATCACTACAGATCCCACGGACATTAAAATTACTACAGATTACTATGAACAACTCTATGCCCACAAATTTGATAACCCAGATGAAATGGGCCAATTCTTTGAAAGGTACAATCTGTCAAAACTCACCCAAGAAGAACTAGACAATCTGAACAGGCCTATTTTTATTAAATAAATTGAATCAGTAATTAATAACCTTCCAAAAGTTCACTGGTGAATTTCACCAAACATTTAGGGTAGAAATTATACCAATTCTGTACAATCCCTTTCAGAGGATAGAAGCAGAGAGAATACTTCCTAACTTACTCAGTTACCCTCATACCAAAACCAGACAAAAACATTACAAGAAAAGAAAACTATAGACCAACATCTCTCATGAACACAGACGTAAAAATCCTCAACAAAATATTAGCAAACCTAATCCACTAATATATAAAAAGAATAGACACCACAACCAAGTGGGATTCATTCTAGGCAGGCAAGACTGGTTCAACATTTGAAAATCAAGTAATGTGGGCTTCCCTGGTGGCGCAGTGGTTAAGAATCCGCCTGCCAATGCAGGGAACGTGGGTTCGAGCCCTGGTCCGGGAAGATCCCACATGCCGTGGAGCAATTAAGCCCGTGTGCCACAACTACTGAGCCTGCGCTCTACAGCCTGCGAGCCACAACTACTGAAGCCCATGTGCCACAACTACTGAAGCCCGCGTGCCTAGAGCCCGTGCTCCGCAACAAGAGCAGCCACTGCAATGAGAAGCCCGCATACTGCAACGAAGAGTAGCCCCTGCTCGCCGCAAATAAGGAAAGCCCATGTGCTGCAGTGAAGATCCAATGCAGCCAAAAACTATGAACAAATGAATAAAATAAAATAAATTAAAAAAAAAGAAAATCAAGTAATGTAATCCATCAGGTCAGCAGGCTAAAAAAGAAAAATCACATGATCATGTCAATCACTGTGGAAAAAGCGTTTAATGAAATCTAATACCCATTCATGAGAAAAACTCTCAGTAAACTAGGAGTACAGGGGAACTTCCTCCACTCAATAAAGAATATCTATAAAGAACCTACAGCTAACATCATACTTAATGATGAGAAACCTCAAGCTTTTCCACTAAGAACAGAAACAAGCCAAGAATATCCCACCTCCCCAATGCTTTTCATCATCATTCTGGAAGTTCTAACTAATGAAATAAGATGAGAAAAGGAAGTAGAAGGTATACTGAGAAGAAGGAAATATAACATGATCGTCTACATAGAAAAAACAGATGAAGGACTTCCCTGGTGGTCCAGTGGTTAGGACTCTGCACTCTCACTGCTGAGAGCCCAGGTTCAATCCCTGATTGGGGAACTAAGATCCTGCAAGCCATGCGGCGCGACAAAAAATAAAAATAAAAAACACAGATGGAAGAATAGACCAAAAAACCCTGGAACTTAATAAGGTATTATAGCAAGGTTGCAGGATACAAGGTTAAAATACAGAAGTCAATCACTCTTCTATATACCACCAATGAACAAGTAGAACTTGAAACTAAAAACACAATACCATTTACATTAGCATTCCCCCATATAAAATAGGTAAAGGGTAACAAAATATGTACAAGATCTATATGAGGAAAACTAAAAAACTCTGATGAATGAATTCAAAGAAGAACTAAATAAATGAAGAGCTATTCCTTGTTCAAAGATAGGAAGGCTCAATGTTGTCAAGTTGTCAGTTACTCCCAACTTGATTTCTAGATTCAATGCAATTCCAGTCAAAATCATTTATTCTGTGGATACTGACAAACTCATTCTAGAGCTTATATAAAGAGACAAACAACCCACAATAGCCAACACAATACTGAAGAAGAAGAACAAAGTTGGAGAACTGATACTACATGACTTCGGGACTTACTGTAAAGCTACAGTAATCAAGGCAGTGGGGTATTAGTGAAAGAATGGACAAAGAGATCAACAGAACAGAATAAAGAGCCCAGAAACAGATCCACATACATATAGTCTGTTCTTTGACAAAGGAGCAAAAGCAATACAATGGAGCAAAGACAGTCTTTTCAACAAATGGTGCTGAAACTGGACATCCACATGCAAAAAAACCACAAACAAACAAAGAATCTAGAAACAGACCTCATAACCTTCACAAAAATTAACTAAAAATGTATCACTGACCTAAACGTAAAACATAAAACTATAAAACATAGAAGAATACCTACATAACCTTGGGTATGGCAATAACTTTTTAGATACAACACCAAAGGCATGATCCATGAAAGCAACTGATAAGCTGGACTTCATTAAAATGAAAAACTTCTGCTCTGCAAAGGACAACATCAAGAGAATGAGGAGAAAAAGCCACAGACTGGGAGAAATATTTGCAAAAGACACATCTGATAAAGACTGTTATCCAAAATATACAAAGACTTCCCTGGTGATGCTGTGTTTAAGAATCCGCCTGCCAATGCAGGGGACACGGGTTTGATCCCTGGTCCGGGAAGATCCCACGTGCCATGGAGCAACTAAGCCCGTGCGCCACAACTACTGAGCCCATGCACTGCAACTACTGAAGCCCGCAAGCTTAGAGCCCATGCCCCGCAGCAAGAGAAGCCACTGCAATGAGAAACCCACGTACTGCAATGAAGAGTAGCCCCCGCTCACCACAACTAGAGAAAGCCCACGTGCGGCAATGAAGACCCAACACAGCCAGAAAAAAACAAACCAAAAAAATCCAAAATATACAAAGAACTCTTTAACACCCAACAATAAAAAAAACAAGCCAATTAAAAAATGGAGGCTTCCCTGGTGGTGCAGTGGTTGGAGTCCACCTGCCGATGCAGGGGACACGGGTTTGTGCCCCGGTCGGGGAAGATCCCACATGCCGTGGAGTGGCTGGGCCCGTGAGCCACGGCCGCTGAGCCTGCGCGTCCGGAGCCTGTGCTCCGCAACGGGAGAGACCACAACAGTGAGAGGCCCATGTACCGCCAAAAAAAAAAAAAAAAAAAAATAGGGCCAATGACCTTAACACATGACTCACCAAAGATTTACAGATGGCAAGTAAGCATTATGAAAAGATACTTCCCTTCATGTCATCAGGAAAATGCAAATCAAAACAATGAATATCACTACACATCTATAAGAACGGCCAAAATCCAAAACACTGACAACATCAAATGTTGATATGGAGCTACTGAAACTCTCATTCGTTGCTGCAGGGAATGCAGATGGTACAAGCCATTTTGGAAGACAGTTAGGCTGTTTCTTACAAAACTAAATATACCATACAATCCAGCAATCACACTTCTTGGTATAAAAGAGTTGAAAATTTATGTCCACACAAAAACCCTGCACACTGATGTTTACAACAACTTTGTTCATAATTGCCAAAACTTGGGAGCGACGGAGATGTCCTGCAGGAGGTGAATATTAAATAAACTGTGGTACATCCAGACAATGGAAAATTATTAAGTGCTAAAAAGAAATGGGCTATCAAGCCAAAAAAAGACTCAGAGGGCTTCTCTGGTGGTGCAGTGGTTGAGAGTCCGCCTGCCGATGCAGGGGACATGGGTTCGTGCCCCGGTCCGGAAAGATCCCACATGCTGCGGAGCGGCTGGGCCCGTGAGCCATGGCCACTGAGCCTGCGCGTCCGGAGCCTGTGCTCCACAACGGGAGAGGCCACAACAGTGAGAGGCCCGCGTACCGCAAAACAAAACAAAACAAAAACAAAAAGACTCAGCGCAACCCTAAATACATATTACTAAGTGAAGGAAGCTAATCTGAAAAAGCAACATACTATGATTCCAATTATATGACATTCTGGAAAAGGCAGAACTACGTGGTTGCCAGGGGTTAGGGAGGAAAAAGGGATGAACAGGCAGAACACAGGGAATATTAGGGCAGTGAGAATACTCTGTATGATATCATAATGATGGATACATGTCATTACGCATTTGTCCAAACCCATAGAATACGCAACACCAAGAGTGAACCCTAACTATAGACTTTGGGTGATCATGATGTGTCAACGTAGGTTCATCAATTGCAACAAATATACTATCCTGGTGGGGGATGTTGATAATGGGGGAGGCTGTGCATGTTTCGGGGAAGGGGGCACATGGGAAGTCTCTGTAGCTTCCCCTCAATTCTGCTGCGAACCTAAAACTGCTCAAAAAATAACATCTTAAAAAAAATTAAGAGACGAAAGCAAGAAGTCGTTCAAAGAGGGAAGGGAGCAGATGGCTGAATTTAAAAAAGACTCGTAGCAACCAGGACATGGATTTAAAGTGATTTGGTTCCTCCAAGAAAAGCAGACTGGGGAATTCGCCCACTGGGGCAGGGGGGCAGCTCCTAACGGGGTGGGTCTCCTCTAGGCTCACAAGCTTGCCTCTTCCTGGCCCCAGCTGCTGATTCATGCTGATTCTCTGAGAGGCAGCACCCAAGAGCCCCCCATGGGTATGCCTGTCTGCGAGGAGCATAACAGCCCACTATGGGCCCAGGGCACAGGTGCAGGGGATTCTACAACGAAGACCCCCTCTGACTGGTGTAATCCCACCCACAGGGTTAACCAAAGTTATCACTTTAGTGTCTTTTCCTTCCAGACTTTTTCCACTGCAGATTTATTTGAACAGAGCTGTGATTCTATTTTCCGTATCCTGATATTTTAAGAATTTCTTAACCCGACAACATAAGGCTTTCCTGTCAGAATGCAGTGTAGCATGGTGGTAAAGGCATCTCCACCAACTGGCCTCCTTGCCTTGCTCACCTGTTAAAGGCCAACACGCCAGGCTGTTGTAAAGAACAACATGGTTCACCCGGGTGATGTGTTAAGAGTCACACGTGGCTCGAGGTGTGCTGGCTGCTACCACCTTCAACAACTTGCCTTCCGATGGCCACGATTCCACTGGGGAGATGCAGTTATAGGAGTTTAGCCCACTGGGGCTGGACTTTCATTGTGTTACTAATTTTTCAAGACTATGACAGTGCTATATATATAACATTATTTCTGGGGATGGCATCTCAGAAGTAGAATGACTGGTCAAAGGAACAGACATTTCCAGCTTCTTTACGGATGAGCACAGCTATTACAATTGTTTCCCAAAACTCACAGCTGCTGGGAAATCAGAAGGGAAGGGTCCAGAGCGGCAGGAACACGGGTGGCTGTTAGATTTGGGGTGAGAGGAGCTGCCTTGCACCTGACTCCATGTGAAGATGAAACAGTCTGCTTGGTATGAACCTGCATGCCTTGCCCAGGTCCAATGTGTGGAGTGCCAACTGTAGTTCAGCTCTGGTGTTGAAATGAGCTCCCCCAGACCACGCTGGTCACCTTCAGCTACTTCTCTGCCAGACACCCCCAGGCTCTGTCCTCATCCGTGGCAGTCACCCTCTAGCCTCCATCAAAGCCACACCCAACAAGCTGGATGCCTGCCAGTAATGCCCCCACAAGGCGCAAGAGCTGCAGGGAGGGCCTGGAGTCACTTGTGGTGATAATGTCTCTTCGTTTTGACCCCAGGGAAAAGGCTCGGCTGGAGCTGCTGAGCCCTGGACCCCTGTGACCAGGGAGAGCCACTTGCGCTGGGGGTTTTGTACAGAATTCCACTACCTTGCCCACTTTGCCTGAGATAGATTTTTTGTCAGCTCTTGTCACGCTAAGTGACAGTACACTAAGTTTCCTGTTTAAATAAACTTACTTAGGTAAATGAAGAAGAAAAAAAAAAGACGTAGTGACTTATACCGCAACACTGCAACACTGGTTTGGGTAGTGCAGAGTGGTGGCCGATATCACTACTTTGTGAGGAGATCCTGGGTCTCCTGAACTCTAGACCCAAACACCCCACCGCCCCCATGAAAGCTCCTAGCTGCCCAGGTACCAGACACAGGGACACCTGAAACCCTCAGCAGCCCTTCCCCCACCCCCGGCCCCACGCGATGGTTCCCTTCTGCCCCCATGTGCCTCAACCTGGTGTGCCTGACCACCCTCCACAACTGTGGCCAGATGATCCTGGAAGAACAGTTGACCCTGTCACTCCCTATGCAGACCCTCCAAAGGCTCTCAGTGGACACCTGAGCCCTCTGCGACCCAGCCCGGCCCGGCTCCAAGGCCCATCTGCAGTGCGTCAACGCTCACCCTGCTCCCCCGCCAAGGTGGCACAGCGCCCGCCATCTCTGCCACTTCACTCCTGCGTGGCAGTCCCTCCAGACGCCCTTCACTTTGTTCCATGTCTAGCTCACGCTGGCTCACATGTAGTAGATGCGACTGGCCGCCTGCCCAGCATCCACACCTTCTTCTTTCTTCCTGAGTCCCTGATGGTGTCTAGAGCTGCAGAATCGACCAGCCCAGATGGCTGCTGCTCTAGCACATTCGTTAAAAGCGCCATCGCATCTCCTCACTGACTGAATGGGGACTTGGGTTACTCGTGGCCAAGTGTCCTCATGGGTGCATCACCTCCACAACAGGTTCAGCGTCCACCTCACAAACCTCTGCCGGCCCCCGCCCTGCAGCAGTGACCACCCCTCCCACACCCCAACATCCAGCCCCCCGACCCGCCTTCCCCCACAAAGAGCTGGGGCTGAACCCACCCAACGAATGACAGAGCGGGGGGAGCACAGACCCAGCCTGAGGGAGTGGTGTGTGACTCTGTGGCTGGGAACAGCAGGGAGGCCAGGACGCTTGTCCCACCCACTCTGTGGAACCTGCACACAGGCTGTGGGTTCCCCCTCCCCAGAGCCTGAGGTATCACATTGCCTGCTTTCCTGCCATTTCCCTTGTCGTAAAGATGAGACCCTCAGGATGCAAACAGTGAACAACAATTCTGTGAGTTTCTGCTCGAGAGCCTGGCCTATTCTGTTACAAGGGAGCAAGGCAAGTGCTAGAGACTTTCTCCATGAGGCACCTGGAAAACACAAGGCCCCAAAGGTCCACACACCTGCCTCAGAGATGATTCAGGGCACCGACGTGCACTTGGGGAATGCCTATGCAGTGGCACGCCTAAACTCTGTGGTCAGAAACTCCTGGACCTGAGTCCTGGCCCTGCCAACTTCTTGCCATGGGACCCTAGCACGTCTCAATACCACACCAAGCCCATTTTCTCAGCGGGGGAGCTGTGACTAGGGTGAGAGGTTACCTCTCCAGTGGGTTCCCCCCCACCGCTTACCTGAATGCCTGGTTCTCGCGGTTGTTCTGGAGGGCAATGGTTTCCACCTCAGGACCCCCATCCGCTATGAACCTGGCCAACTTTTCTGCGAGGTTCTTGACCTCTTCATCCTCTGGGGGTGAAACTTTAAGCAGGCTGTCAGTACTGAGCTCAACTCACCACACCCAACAGCCTAATTTCTGCTAAGAACCCCGGGCAACAAGAGGGGTTTATTTTAGGAACAATACAAAGAAAAACAGGCAAATGGGAATCAGATTACTGCACTGGAACCAAACACCTGAATTAATATAATAATATATCTTGAGCTTCTGCCCCCCACACCCGACCCCTTCCCACCCCATATGTCTGGGGGTTTTGGACCCACACTGGGACATGGGAACAGAATGTGAGGGAGAGTCTGGGTCCAGGCTGGAGGAGAGATGGGAATCCCCACCTCAGTCTTTCTGCTGGCAGCTGTCCCCCCAGGTCACATGGGGAGATGGGCCTGGCCCACCTCTCCTGGGAAGAAGGTCAGGGCAAGGGACTGCAAGTGACAGACATGATGAACCAACGTCTGTGGCCCACATTTGGCTTAAACATCAACCCCCCTGCTGCCCACCAGCACCTGGCTGGGGTTTCACTTCATTACAGCTGGAGACCAGGCAGCATCTCACCCTCCCGACACTCATCCCACCAGCTGACCGTTTTTGTCTCCTGGCCCCCCTCGACCAGTGTCAGTCACTGCATTTGTCTCTAGGTGTCCTCAGTGCCCAGCACGCATCAGGTGCTCATTAGCACTTGTGAAAATGACCATGAACCAAGGGGCAAATGTTCCTCCCCTGTGCCCCGTTTACATGCACAGGGCTGAGCTCCTGGACATGACCTTGACCTTTACCTTGACCCTTAGATTTCGTCTCAGAGCACTGGCAGGGAGGGCAGTGCTGGTCCCAGCATGACCCCAGCTCCCTGGGAGGGCATAGACCTGCACTGTCAACGCCACCCCACACCACGAAGGGTTCCAGGAAAGGAACCCCGATTCCACCTGGGGCGTGGTTTGTCCACACGCCTCCCTAGAACCTCCCACCCCCTTCAGCCACCTACCTTTCTGAGAGGCTGCCTGCAACTTCTGTGCTTCCTTTCTTATCTCAGCCACCTTCTTTCTGTAGTAGAGGAATTCCCTGCTATTCTTATCATGCAAAAACCTGGAGAGTTTTGTAAAACAAAGAGTGTAAAATGAGCAACGGGGATGGGTGGACCCATGCAGCTTCTGAAGACATACTGTGCAAAAAGCAAGCTGGTGAGCAGAGACACCTCGATGGGGCCCAAAAATAAGTCTCCACACCACACTGGGGCCCCTTGCTACCTCTGGTGTGAATTAGAAAGCTCTCAGAACAGTATCTGGCCCACGCAAGTAAGCACCCAGCCCCGGGCAGCTTCAGTCACCACCAGGGTTTTACAAGAACATTTGCATGTACTAACATGTGGCAAGAACATTAAGTAGCAGTGGTCTTCCCCTCCCAGAAGTACTTACGAAAATGCTGGGTTATCCTTGTAGTTCTCCATAGCTACTTTTTCTAACTCGGGGCCTCCTTCTGCCACAAAGCGGGCCAATTTCTCTATCACTTTCCGAGTCTCGGCTCCCTCTGGGGGTGAAACTTTAAGGAGGCTGTCAGTACTGGGGTTCAACTCACACACCCCACAGTCAACAGGCACACTCTCTCTACGGACCACAAGGACAGAGGGGTCGGGGGAGAAGAGGGTGAAATGCGGGAGGTTGTCGGGCGTCCCGGGTCCATGCACAAAGCACCATGATGAGGGGTGAGTCGGTCTAGACAGCCTTTGCGAGACATGCTGGAGGGAGAAAAGTGTGTGAGCCTCCCAAAGGCCAAGCCAGTCCCCAGGCTGGCAGGGAGATGTTGGAAAACATAGCCACCCTCCCCCTCCTTTTGTGGAATGCTCGATCCCTTTCTTTACCAGTGTTCAGTACAATAAATCAATTCCCTTTCATCCTTCAAAGACAAATTCTTTTTTTTCAAATATCATTACAAACTCTGATTTTAAGATGTCAGTGGGTTGCAATCCAACACAATTAATATCATCACAGAAGCTCAATCACCCCCTCTGTGGCCAGTGGAGCCTCTTCAAGCTGGCTCCCGAGGCCTTTGGACATGACCCCAGTCTCTGATGGCCTCCTCGATACCTGCTGGGACAGGGCACTTCAGGATCATCTCAGACACTTCCTGCCCAGACCTAGAGCCAGCCATTTCTCCAAGAAGTCCTGGTTTCCATGAGTGAGAACATGTGTTTCCAGACCAACATCTGGGAGCTAGGGACACTCATTGCAATGGGTTTAATTGTTACCTCAGAGCACTTTCAGTGAACACCACTAAAAAATATATTTTGGGGGCTTCCCTGGTGGCGCAGTGGTTGAGAGTCCGCCTGCCGATGCAGGGGACACGGGTTCGTGCCCCGGTCCGGGAAGATCCCACGTGCTGCGGAGCGGCTGGGCCCGTGAGCCATGGCCGCTGGGCCTGCGTGTCCGGAGCCTGTGCTCCGCAACGGGAGAGGCCACAACAGTGAGAGGCCCGCATACCGACAAAAAAAACAAAACAAAAAATACACATATATGTGTGTATATATATATATACACACACACACACACATATATATACGTATATATTTTTTTATTAGCCTCCACTTTGAGCCACATGGAACTTGCTTTTGTATTTACTGCTGGCCTGTTTCTGAGACTGTCAGCCACCATACAGCTCACATCCCTCATGAAAACTCCCAGAAGAAATTTCTTGATGTCAGTCAGTGCTTAGGAATGTTTGCTCCTCCTGGCAATGGGGCCAGACACTGAGCCTGTGGCCACTCTTATTCCCCCTGCTGCTTGTACTGCCAGGAAGCTCGCGGGGTTGGGGTGGCGGGGTACAACATGTGGCCTAAGGAGGACCTATAAGAGGTCTCAGAGACATTCTGTGTCCACCTTTTTCCTAAGCCTCATCCTCCTCCCACATGCCTGGCAACGACCCTGACCTGGTCACTTTACAAGCACAGGTGCTTTTCTGAGGTTGTATCAACAGCAGGCCATAAAAGCCTCAAGGGCCTTGAGACACCCACTGCCCCTCATAAAGTAGCAGTTCCCAGCAGGGTACCATTGAACTGCCAGGGCCCCTCTCTGAGGAAACACCACACTCACTGACTCCATTCTGACTAATGCTCCAAACTTCGAGGTTGGCCCCTGATCTGTTTAGATGCACGGCCTGAAGCCGGCACCCTCATCCAGAACAAGAGGCCTAGAGGCTGTCGTGGCATGATTATATGGTCGCTTCAGTCTGTCCTGTCAGGGAGACATGACTGTGCCAGCCATCCTGGAGCAGAGGTGGCCTAGGGCCAGGACTTCACACAGCTCGTTCTCCACACAGCACCGAAGTCTCGTTCTGAATATGGTCATGGCTGGATGCACTAGGAGTGCCACCATCACCACCCTCCTCCGCCCTCCTCCACCATGGGGCTGGAACTGGCTCACCCAAGGCCAATGACTGTCCTTCCCTGGGCAGGAGAGCACGCCCTCCAACCGGCACGCTCATACCTCTGGCCCAAACTCGTGGAGACAAGTACCCGCACTGAGGAGCTCCTCTTCTAGTACTGGATGAGGAGGGCACAAGTGAATGCTCCCCTGAGAACGCCCCCCCGGAGGCCAGCCCCCACACAAGTGGACAGTGGGTCCCACAGCTCCCAGGATGAAGCCCACACTCTGCAGCCCCTCCGTGCTCCCCATGCTCTGCTCCCCACCCCTTCCTTCACCTCGCTCATCCTGAAGGCACCCCCTGACCACAGCCCCAAGCACCCCACAGCCCTGGCTGCGCTGTCCCCGGTGCCCGTGGACCCTGCTGGAGCAGCTGGAGGGGCAGCCGTGGAAGGGGGGCAGCAGCCCCGGCCCCTCACCTTTGATCTCCAGCCACTGTTCATAGTCCTCCTCCTCGTCCTCGTCAGGAGACTGGAAGACGCTCGGGCGGCTGGCCACGGGCAGCTGCTTGGCATGCACGTAGTTCTTCATCTGGCCCGGCGGGCTACTGATGAGGGGGGGCCTCTTCCCGGTGCGCGGGAGCACACGAGGCGGGGCAGCGGGCGCACTCGGGCGGGCATCTTGGGATACAAGGAAGGATACCCACACTCAAGGTCTGTGGTGCAGGTTTCCTATCTTCCTGCCTAACCTGCACACCCTGAGCCCCAAGTGGCTGGGTTCTTAACTTCTCGCATAGCACTGGTAGGCAGTGGGTGACCAGAAGCACTCAGGGAGGACGCCACCCCCATTTTACAGATGAGGACCCCTGAGGCGCAGAGAAGAACCTACTGTGGTCACCCAGCCCAGGACTCTGCAGGCGGCAACTCTGGCAGTAGGTGCCTCTGATGCCTATATCCATAGACTAGGGATGCTGCAGCTCTTCCGGATGAGACCTGAACCCCCACGTCCAGCTTACACTCACTCCCTCTGCTTGCCAGTAGCGGGCTGGAGCCAGTCTATTTGGGACTTTTCAAACACGACTCATGGCATGAGACCCTGCAGTGAAGAGCTCATATAGCCCTTTCTCCCTCTCTGTGGGCAAACTTGGCCTTGGGTTAACTGTCTTCACTGTTACCTGGGAAACCTGACAAAGGTTGAAGGTCAGCTGTTTCACCAGTAACTTTCTTACAGTAAAAATGAGACTGGTAAACTGCACAACCACAGATACAGGTGGGCTTCCCACAGGTGGTGATTCTCACACCTGGCGTGTCCCATGGGGCTCCTGTGGGCCAAGCGCCCCCGCCCCCCGCCCCCGCCCGAAGAGGGTCCTGTTCCTTGCGCCTGGGCTGCCGCTCTGACTCAAGCCTGGGGCATGCTTAGTCCTGGCCCCTACCCCCTGGATTGAAACCTGGCTTCTTTGTCTCCACTTCTTGGGGGTAAGCATCTAGAGGGCAAGGCCTGCACTCTCCCCTTGGGCGTTTAGCGTGAGGACGCGTAGGATGAGGGCGCTCAAGGAACGGGGGGTGAGAGGAGCAAGTCTGAGGCGGGACCTGCCAGTTCTGAGGTGCTGAGGGACCCTTGGGAGAGAAAGCCAGCAGGGGGAGCTCTAGGAGGAGGTGAGATGGGACAGGGGGGACTGCACTCACCTGTGCTGGTCTGTGCCTTCTGCAACTTCAGAAACTGCTGCAAGAAGCTGCCGTCGTTGGCAAACTTGTTGGAAACATTAGAGTTGTGTGCGTTTGCAATTCTAGACCCGAGACAGAGGACAGACAGCGTAAGCCTTGAGAAGAGGGGAGGGAGCACGCCTTGCCGGCCTCAGTCCCACCCCCACCCCTGTATTCTCACCTAAGGGGACCCAAAACAGGCCCCCAAAGATGCCAGGGAACAACTGAGTGCACAGAGCAGTCTTCAGAGTAGTAAGATGGAACAATCTTGTTCTAGTCAAAGCAATCCCACCTGTGCTGGTGTTCTCTCTACCCGCATGTTGACCTTCCTGGTCCAAAGGGCCTCCCCAAGAAGATGGCTCAGAACCACCTGCCATACTTATTGTTAACAAATCATCTGGGCTATCACTGATGCTTACGTCTGTTTTCCCAGCTAGACTGCAGAGTTCTCAAAGGCAGGGCCTATGTCTGTACCTGCGTGTGACCGCAGTTCCATGCCTGGGTCAGCCAGCGCTTCTGTGGGTTTCACATGTGCAGAGGAAAATACCCAAAGCAATTTCTTGGTGGGAGAATTACAGGGGAATTTTATATTTTTATTACTTTCTCTTTTTGAAAAGAATATGTTTTATTTTGAAATAAGAAAAATTTATTTTTAACGAACACAAAAGCAAACCCAGGGGCCTAAATGTTTAATTCAAATTCATCTTTCCTTATCAAAAAAGTGATAGAAGCTCATTATGAGCAAATGGGAACGTGGAAAAAATCAGAAACGTAGAAAGCAAGGAGAAAACCCTAAAAAAGTCTCCTTACCTCACAAGAGCCACAATTAATACTTTGATATACTTCTTTGATTTGCCCCTTAGATTAGAAATAGAGGAAATAAGGCTGTGATCATAGCATATATTCTACTTCTTTCATCTTTTCCTACAGCATACTATCTTGCTCTAACCTCAGAAACTCCTCGTATGTGCTGCTTTTAGGGGCACATCCATCATACAGACACACCCAATAACTGAAAAAGCTCAGGGAGCCCATAGGTCTGAACTTTTTCCTTTAAAGTAAAGTTTTATCCTCCTAGAAATCCGTTCTAATGAAGTAAAAGTGGAAAAAAACCTAAGTAGTCAACAAGGGGCACTGGTTAAATAAATTATGAGACATCCATAAGGCAGATGGAGTGGCCCTGAAAAGTTAAATTCTTATAAATAAAGCAACCAAGCACAACGTTAAATGAAAAACAAAAAGGCAGGATATAAAACAGTACCTACAGGGTGGTCCTACTTATGTGAAAATATATTTGACTGAAAAATTGTTACAAAAATCCATCAAATGCAACCAGCACTTGCCTCTGGGTTGCAGGGTTACAACTGATTTTATTTCTTCCTCATTTTCTTCTCCTCTACTTCCCAGGTTTTCTACCACATATATGAATTATCTTTAAAGTTAAAAAACAAAAGAGAGAGAGAAGGCAGTAAAAGTTATTTTATATGAAAGAGAAAGTTCTGCTGATAACCAGCCTTGGCATTAAACAAGCAGGGCCTTCTAGTGACCCTGGCCTTATCCTCATGCTGTGTGCACCTCCCTCAGGAGGGACAGAAAGAAGGCAGGGACAATGAAGGACAAGAAAATACTTTGGGGGGAATTCTCTGGCGGTCCAGTGGTTAGGACTCCGCACTTTCACTGCCAAGGGCCTGGGTTCAATCCCTGGTCAGGGAACTAAGACCCCACAAGCCACACGGTGCGGCCAAAAAAAACCCCCCAAAAACCACTTCGGGTCAGCAGCATGTCAGCACATGAATCCCACTTGAAAACCACCCATAACAAATGGCAGAGGCTTCCCTGGTGGCGCAGTGGTTAAGAATCCACATGCCAATGCAGGGGACATGGGGCCCTGGTCCGGGAAGATCCCACATGCCGCGGAGCAACGAAGCCCATGCGCCACAACTACTGAGCCTGCGCTCTGGAGCCCGGCCACAACTAATGAAGCCTGCGCCTGGAGCCTATGCTCTGCAACAAGAGAAGCCACCGCAATAAGAAGCCCTCGGCAACTAGAGAGAGCCTACGCACAGCCACGAAGACCCAACGCAGCCAATAAATAAATAAATTTTAAAAATTCATTTTTTTAAAAAATGGCAGGGGTTATCACACAGCTGTTAAATGATGGCTTTTGATGAACAGATAAACAAAACATGGTCCATCCACACAATGGAATATTATTCAGCCACCAAAAAAAGGAATGAAGTACTGACACTGCTACAAAGTGATGAACCTTGAAAACATCACGTCCAGTGAAAACAGCCAGACACAAAAGGCCGCGTATTACATGAAATATCTAGAATAGGTAAATCCACACAGACAGAAAGTAGATTAGTCGTTGTCAGGGGCTGAGGGAAGAGGGAATGGGGAGTGATTGCTAATGGGCATGGGGTTTCTTTCTGGAGTGACAAAACGTTCTGGAATTAGTGATAATAGTTGCACAATGCTGTGAATATACTGAAAATCACTAGGTTGTATAGTTTAAAAAGTCAATTTTATGGCATGTAAGTCATATCTTAATATAAATAAATAAAACTTTAACACTGTGGCGGTTCTAAAGAGTTGTAACGCGGGGGGTTGGGGGGAAGCTTTTCCTTTAAAAAGTGGGGGGCGGGGGAAGCGACATATGAAATTGACCACAATTTAGTGAAACAAAGCAATGACATGGGAAGGGAATATATCAAAATGGTTCTCTTGAGGCAACCTGAATGTTTCTTATTTCTGCAGCACGAAATTCTAAGGTGTTCTAAGCTTTTACAATGGGGAAAACAACCTTATTTTCAAAGCTACCTGTACTCTGCACCCACCCGATGTTCCTTTTTGGCTGCCTGATCCTGGCGCTGAGATCCAGCAGCCTCCAGGGGGCCCTCTTGGAAGCAGTCCTACAGGCCTTTCCCATCTTTGTGCAAGTCCTTCCATAACCCCAGGGGTGACAGTCCACAAGCCCACCCACAGATCACTCAACATCCAGTCCCCATGTTCCTGAACACCCTGGAGGTTCCAACAAGAATAAAGTTTAAGTCCCGCCCTCAAGGAGAAGCCACGGACTCTTAGAAAAGGTGGGAGCTGGAACAGAGCCTTAGTGGAGGGCTAACATGCTCCACACTTCAGACCGCAGAGGAAGGGGCTTGTCTCTGTCAACCTCCAGCCTGAAATTCTTGGATCTTGTCACCCTGATCACACCACCCCTGCTCAAAACTCTTGGGTGCCCTCAGAGCCTCTCAGGACAGTCAGGAGGAAACCCTCTCTCCTGGCTCAGAAACAGCCCCTTTGGTGCAGCAGCTCGAGCTGCCTGACACACAGGGGCTCGCCTCCCTTCTGCCCTTTGCTGTCCTTTCCTGCTTCCTCAAAGGGCTGGCTCTGCCTGGGGCCTTCAGAATGCAGAGCCTCTTCTGCATCCCTACGGCAGCTGCTGCATCTGGGAGCACACTGCCTCATGTTACCTACCAGAGCATCCCTTCACAAGTAGACTGTGAGCCCCGTAAAGGCAGAGATGGAATCTGGGTTTTTGCTCCGTGCTGTATTCTTGGTCCCTGGCCCACAACAGGTCAGCAGTAAATAACCACTGAGTGAAAGAGTTGGCAGCCATCCTCTGGGCTCCCATACACCCCTTGTTTCTCTCCTGCCACACAGCCTCCTGAAAGTGCACCTGCGTTCCTCCTTGCACCATCAGGCTGTGGCTAGATGCAGAAACACCTCGACTACTCTCGCAAGCAAAACCCTCTGTTGGTGACCCTCAAAGACCCTAATCCAGTCTCGGGGTAGACTTACTCGCCAGGATGCCGGGGCTGAGGGCTGGCCACCTGATTCTGCTTGGCTTTCTGCTCCATTTTGGCTTCAATTTCCCGTTTCTTCTGAGCAATGAGCTCCTCCTGGTGAAGGATGTTCATGTTCATTTTTCCAGACTTGGGAGGAGCAACCCCAAACCACCGGTTAGCCTTTCCTGGGGAGGGAAAAGAAGTACATCAGAAATCACCTTTGCTCCAAAAACATGCCCAGCAGCTGCTATGGGAGCAGCCCAGTTGCTATGGGAGCAGCCCAGAGCTGCCCTCTCAGGCAGCAACTAACATTCAGATTGACATTCACACATCTGTTCCTTCATTTATTTAGCAAACATTTACTGAGTTATGCACCAGATGCTGTATTTAGCAAACATTTACTGAGTTATGCACCAGATGCTGTACTTGGTGCTAATCAAGACAGAAGGGGCCTCTGCCCATGTGGGATTCACCTCTGGCTGAGGAGACAAAAGACTTGTAACAAAAAAGTAGTTGCAAAATCATGATAAGAGCTCTCTGCTGGAAACAAAAAAAAAGATGAGAAAGCATAACAGAGGACCACCTATACAGCTAGCCAGAAAATAACCGTTAAAAAAGGGGACATTTAAGCTAAAACCAGAAAGATAAAGAGGTGGCTTCCTGAAAAGCCACATGGGGAGTGATCTGGGCAGAGTAAGAAGCAGAGGTCCAATGTGGTCAGAGCAGGCGGTTCCAGGGGTGGGGCTAGCGGGGGTAGGGCAAAATAGGGAGTCTGAGTTTTACTTAAAGGGTTTTAGGAAGTGACTGGGGAGTATTAAGCTGATAAGATCCAACTGGTATTTTTATTTTTAAGATCATTCTGTCTACTGATTGGACAGAGTGCACAGGCAGCAAGGAGACCAACAAGGAGGCTTACTGGCTCCAAGCAAAAGATGATGGTGTCTTCAGACAAGGGTGGTAGTTGTGGAGATGGAGAAGACACCTCGAACGTTCCCCCATGGGACTCAAAATAAAATCCAAATTCTGAAAGCCGATTTTCAAGACGCTGCCAGAGATGGCTCCCCTCCCCACTTCCACTTCATCCCTGACATTCTTCAAAATGACAAGCTCTCAAGGCTTTTGCACTTGCTGTCCCCCTCTGCATAGAAGGCTCTGCCTTCCAGGCCTTCCGATAGTTGGCATCTTCTCATCTCAAGTATCTTCTGCTCAAAAAGGCTTTCCTTGACCACCCAATATCAGCAACCTGCACCTCCACTCTCTCGTATCATTATAACTCACTCTCTGTAAATATTTCCTTTTTTGTGCATTGTGATGCCCCAGTAGAAAGTAGCCTTCAGGAAGGCATGGCCCCGTTTTGGTTACACTACATCCTCAGCAACTAGCACAGTGCCTAGCACACAATGAATATTTCTTCAATGTATCCCAGTCTGGGTGGAGGGCTAGGGCTGGGGTGGGGGAAGAATAAGGCTTGTGCTAAAGTAGGGGCTCTAAAGACCCAGGAAAATGTGTACAGGGAGGCCAAGTGCAGTTCGGAAAAACAGCTTTTCCAGAAAGCGGGATACAGGCCAGTCAGGAGCTGACACGAAGAGAGGCGCAGGACAGCCCAAGGTTGCCACTGGCTCGGGGAGCGGAGGTCTGAGCAGCCCTGAAGGCGGTTATTTCGGAAAGCAGGCGCAGGGCAGATCCCGGTGGCGGCCTTTAAGGAAAGCCTGGCGTCCTCAGCAAACCAGCGGTTGGGGGGGGTGGGCGGGGGCGGGGTAACTGGGTCTGGGGTCTCGGGAGACGGGGGTGGTGCAGAAGCCGCCTCTTCCAGCCACCGGGAAGCTGAGGCTAAGGGCCGGCGGGTTGAGGTAGGCCCGACGGTAGGGCTAAGCAAAGACTCAGCCCGAACACCCAGGCAGACGCTTGCGGGGAGGCGGGGGCTGTTACCTGCAACATCCCGGTTGTCCATCTTGAGACTCATCCAATCCCACAATGCTCCGGCGCCACCGGGGGCGGAGGGGTGGTGGCGGCGGGGGGCGCTTGTTATAGTACGCATGGCCTGATGGGAGATGTAGTCCACGTCGGCAAGCCACGCCCTGCCATTGCTTGGACACCTGGGGTCTTCACCCTAGGAATGCAAACCTCAGCCCATCGGAAATCTCCGGTCACAGTCTCGCGGACCAGATGGTGTCGCCTTTTCTCAGACCTTCCCGGAGCCGCGGCCACTCCAAATACAAACTACATGTCCCAGGATGCTTTGTACAGAAGCTCTCGCGAGAAACGCGAGGCGCTCCCGGCCCCGCCCCGTGCGCCTGCTTCCGCCTACCTGTGGCGGCAGTTTGTTGTTGGGGAGGCCAAAATGGCGGCTCAGGCGGCGGCGGCGGCTCAGGCTGCGGCGGCCCAGGCAGCGCAGGCCGAGGCGGCTGAGTCGTGGTACCTGGCGCTCCTGGGCTTTGCCGAACACTTCCGCACTTCCAGCCCGCCCAAGATCCGCCTGTGTGTGCACTGCTTGCAGGCCGTGTTCCCCTTCAAGCCGCCGCAGCGCATTGAGGCCCGAACACACCTGCAGCTCGGTTCCGTGCTCTACCACCACACCAAGAACAGCGAGCAGGCGCGCAGCCACCTGGAGAAGGCGGTGAGCGCGGGCCGGGCCGCAAGGGTGGAGGTGCAGGCTCTTTTCTGAGCTTGGGCTGAGGGGTCGCGACCCTGGCGGGCGGGGGCCGCCGGCGCCGCTCCTCCGGGACCTGGGGCGTGACTTCCGCACCAGCAGCAAGACCCCGAAGACGTGAGCCTCTCAGGGGACCCGAGGGAACTCGCCCCGTACCGTACTTAATGTTTCTGGTGACAGGCAGAGGCCTAGGACTCCGGTCCGGGTACTCCGAGAGTTGCCTCTTTCAGGAGCAACAGGGTTGTGTCCCCATCAGTGATGAGGGGAGTCATAGGTGAGAGGCAGAGGCCCAGAACCTAGAGGCAGTCGTTTGAAGTCCTGTAAAAGGCAGAACTGGGCGGGGGGTGGGGGGGGTGTCTGGATTCCAGAGCTCAGGGCTCCTGCTTTCTCCGTATCTACCTGTGACTTCTCTTTCTCCCACCATCCACTCAACCGTCCCCTTCAGAGGGCAGGCCCTATCTTCCCATGTTGACCTGTGGGATCTTGGTGCCTCAAAAAATGTGGGAAAGTGGCCATCATTCTGCCCTTTCTGGCTGTGCAGTTCTTTCTACTCAGAGCAACACTGCACTCCTGTCATATGGTGTCTCCAATTGCTGTTCACCCAGCTTTATTCTGCTTAGAGGAGGGACTTCTCTTTTTTTCTTTTTTTTTTAATGGTTACTTTCCTCTCTTCCTGCCAGAGGTATGAGATGAGTTTTTTTCTTGTTTTTTTTTTGATGTTGGGAGTAGGAGTTTATTAATTTATTTATGTATTTTTGCTATGTTGGGCCTTGGTTTCTGTGCGAGGGCTTTCTCTAGTTGTGGCAAGCGGGGGCCACTCACTATCGCGGCCTCTCATTGCAGAGCACAGGCTCCAGATGCGCAGGCTCAGTAGTTGTGGCTCACGGGCCTAGTTGCTCCGCGGCATGTGGGATCCTCCCAGACCAGGGCTCGAACCCATGTCCCCTGCATTAGCAGGCAGATTCTCAACCACTGCGCCACCAGGGAAGCCCAAGACTTCTTGAATACAGTCAACTTCGATTTTAAAAATGTATTGATCCTGAGGTAAATCTGAACCCACCGGTGGCTAGTAACAAATTGCCTTTGGTAGGATAATCAGATCTTTGTTTTGCAGGCTGTAAAGAGTTGGAAGGGGACTTTAGTTCTTTCTTGATCCACTTCTTGTTTCACGAATGAGGCAGTATGGGCCCAAAGAGGTAAAGTGATTTGCCCAAAGCCACACAGCAACTTATTAACAAAATTGAGCTCAAACCTAGGCTCAAGGGCTTCCCTGGTGGTGCTGTGGTTAAGAATCCACCTGCCAATGCAGGGGACACGGGTTCGAGCCCTGGTCCGGGAAGATCCCGCACCGAAGCCGGTGCGCCACAACTACTGAGCCTGCACTCTAGAGCTCCCGTGCCACAACTACTGAAGCCCGTGCACCTAGAGCCCGTGCTGCGCAATGAGAAGCCACTGCAATGAGAAGCCCGCGCACCGCAACAAAGAGTAGCCCCCTCTCGCTGCGACCAGAGAAATCCCGTGCGCAGCAATGAAGACCCAACGCAACGAAAAATTAAAAAATAATAATAATAATAATAATAAATAAATTTACAACAACAACAAAAAAATCTAAGGTCAAGATCGCCAGGGTCCATGCCAAGACGATAAGTCGTGGGTGGTTGTTGTGTTTTTTTTTTTTTTAATTAATTAATTAATTAATTTTTGGCTGTGTTGGGCCTTCATTGCTGCCGCAGGCTTTCTCTAGGAGCAGTGTGCAAGGGCTACTCTTCGTTACGGTGCACGGGCTTCTCGTTGCAGTGTCTTTTTTTTTTTTTTTTTTTGGGGACCCGGGGCTCTCCCCGTTGTGGCCTCTCCCGTTGCGGAGCACAGGCTCCAACGCGCAGGCTCAGCGGCCATGGCTCACAGGCCCAGCTGCTCCGTGGCATGTGGGATCTTCCCGGACCGGGGCACGAACCCGTGTCCCCTGCATCGGCAGGTGGACTCTCAACCACTGCACCACCAGGGAAGCCCCGCAATGTCTTCTCTTGTTGTGGAGCACAGGCTCTAGGCGCGTGGGTTTCAGTAGCTGTAGCACATGGGCTCAACAGTTGTGGCTGACAGGCTCTAGAGCGCAGGCTCAGTAGTTGTGGCGCACGGGCTTAGTTGCTCTGCAGCATGTGGGATCTTTCCGGACCAGGGCTTGAACCCGCGTTCCCTGCACTGGCAGGCAGATTCTTAACTGCTACGCCACCGGGGAAGTCCAAGTCGTTGTTTTTGTGAAGTTCTTTTCTTTCATTCATTCAGCAGATATTTAATTAGCTCACACTGGGTGCCAAGACCTATTCTAGGTGCTGGGGATCAACAGTGACTAAAGCAGTCCTTGCCCACAGAAGCTTATGTTTTTGTGAGGGAGACAAACAATGAATATATAGTAAAAGGTTAGGCAGCGATAGAAGAACCATGAAAACCAGGGTGAGGGTTGGAGTTGACAGGGAGCTATTTTTAGCAAAGGTAATGAGGGAGTCTCTATTTGTGGGAGTCACATTTGAACAGAGTCCTGAATGAGGTGGGGGAGCAAGCCTTGAGAAGCGCTCAGAGTTTCAGGTCAATCCCTAGGAGTGCCTGAGCTGTTGGTGACTGGTTGATATCAGGGTCTCTCCTGAGCAGTGATGAGGCTGAGATCAAACGAAGTGTCAAGCTTCCTTGGGTGTGGGAAGGGTGGAGGCTGTGACTGCCCGGGCCTGACTCCCAGTGCCTTTAGTGGATGTGCTGGTTCTGAAGCTCTCCCTTCGCTCAGTTAACAACAAATCCTGCCACCTCCTTTCCCTTGTCTTCAGGCCATTCAGCCTGTTTCTTTTTTGTTTTCTTTTTTTAATTTGAAATATTGTAGGGTCTTTTTTAATTTTTATTTAATTAATTTATTTTTGGCTGCATTGGGTCTTCGTTGCTGTGCGCGGGCTTTCTCTAGTTGTGGCAAGCGGGGGCTACTATCGTTGTGGTGCACGGGCTTCTCATTGCGGTGGCTTCTCTTGTTGTGGAGCACGGGCTCTAGAGCACAGGCTCAGTAGTTGTTGCGCACAGGCTTAGTTGCTCCACGGCATGTGGGATCTTCCGGACCAGGGCTCGAACCCATGTCCCCTGCATTGGCAGGTGGATTCTTAACCACTGCACCACCAGGGAAGCCTTATGGTAGTTCTATTTTTAATTTTTTGAGGAACCTCCATACTGTTTTCCATAGTGGCTGCACCAATTTACAGTCCAACAGTGCACAAGGGCCCCCTTTTCAGGGCTTCCCTGGTGGCACAGTGGTTAAGAATCCGCCTGCCAATGCAGGGGACATGGGTTCGAGCCCTGGTCCGGGAAGATCCCACATGCCACAGAGCAACTAAGCCCGTGCGCCACAACTACTGAGCCCGCAAGCCACAACTAGTGAAGCCCACGTGCCTAGAGTCCATGCACCACAACGAAGAGTAGCCCCCGCTCGCCACGACTAGAGAAAGCTCATGTGCAGCAACGAAGACCCAACACAGCCAAAAATAAAATAAATGAAATAAATAAAATTATTTTTTTTAAAAAAGGGACTTTAACTTAAATAGACGTTTCTCCAAAGAAGATAGCCAATAGGCTCATGAAAAGATGCTCAGCATTGCTAGTTATTAGAGAAATGCAAATCAGAACTACATTGAGGTATCACCTCACACCGGTCAGAATGGCCATCATCAAAAAGTCTACAAATAATAAATGCTAGAGCGTGTGTAAAGGAAAGGAAACCCTCCTGCACTGTTGGTGGGAATGTAAATTGGTACAGCCACTGTGGGGAACAGTATGGAGGTTCCTTAAAATAGAGTTGTTGGGCTTCCCTGGTGATGCAGTGGTTAAGAATTCACCCACCAATGCAGGGGACACGGGTTGGAGCCCTGGTCCGGGAGGATCCCACATGCCTCGGAGCAACTAAGCCCGTGCGCCACAACTGCTGAGCCTGTGCTCTAGAGCCCGCGAGACACAACTGTTGATCCCACGCGCCACAACTACTGAAGCCTGTGTGCCTAGAGCCCATGCTCTGCAACAAGAGAAGACACCGCAATGAGAAGCCCGCACACTGCAACGAAGAGTATCTCCCACCTGCTGCACCTAGAGAAAGCCCATGGGCAGCAACGGAGACCCAGTGCAGCCAAAAATAAAATAAATAAAATAAATAAAAATTTTTTTTTAAATCTAAAAAAAAAAAACAAAAGATGCCGGCAGCAATGTATATATTAAACAACAAAAAAAAGTGGAGTTGTCATATGATCCAGCAATCCCACTCCTGGACATATATCGGGAAAAGATGAAAACTCATTCAAAAAGCTACGTGCGCTGAAATGTTCATAGCAGCACTGTTTATAATAGCCACAACATGGAAGCAACTTAAATGTCCATCAATGGATGA